CATCGAGATAGAGAGAAGACACATCGGCCAATTGGCTTCCAGAAGGCTTTCACCAACCGGCATCATTTCGTCTCTCCGATTCCAGCGAGGAATAAGTTTATTTTTTTCATTTTTATATTTTGTCTGTGCTTCGAAGTTTCTTTATCGGTTGGGTTGGCAGGCTTAGGGCCGGCTAATAACTAGTGAACTAGTTAACCAGGTGAGTTTACTTGGCATAATAATAGTGATAATAATAATGATCCTATGGATGGTTATTTTTCTTAACATTTATTTCGCATCCTTAACACTTGTAGAGTATAAATAGCAACGCAGAAAACAAGAAATAATTTCGTCCACATTCGTATCTCGAAAAGGAGTAACTCCTATGAAGATATTTCACTACTGTAACGAAATAGGACAGTCAAAATACATGCTGATTTTGGAACTGAAACTCTTATGGTGAAAGACATTCAACCATGTAGAACAGCTTTATATCTGATAAATCCATGATGTGCTTAAATTTCGAAATGATCTTCACAGTTGCATCGAGAGGCCTGTATTCAAAGTTTTCAGATAAAGTCCATAATCCTCGATTTCTTTCATGCTGATGGTTACATCCACATTTGATTTTCTCTATGGCTGAGATTCTTTTTTGTGAGATAACTGTTGTCATACATTTTGATCTTGAATGTTCAGTGTTGAATACAGTTTGCGTAATGCATAAGCTGTCTTTATCAATTACAGTCACAGAAAATGCAGTTTTATATTTCAGTTTATAATCTTGCTTGTACTGCTCACCAGCTCGGAACCTGGAGTCCTCTGGAACTACTTCTGACTTCTTTTTATATTCCAAAATCTAAGTAAAATTTCTGTCTGTATTCTGGTTGTTATATGGGAATTTTAGTTTGCGAGTAACATTTTATATCAGTGTTCGCATTTGGTATTCATCCTACAGGGGTTCAAATTTTGAAAGCTGTTTTAAACACAATTTTATGCCCTTTTTTATTAGAATGAAAACCTATGGTTGTGAATGTTTTTCAGCCACATGCGCATATTGAGGTTTGTGAATACTTTGAGTTCTCACTGCATGGTCTACCTTCCACGTTGCGGGGGGGGGGCTGAGTTTATATCATATGACGTAAACATTTACAAAAGAGTTATAGATATGAATTTTGTCGCAAGCAAAGGTTTTGTTGGGTACTTCAATTATATCTTAAAAGTTTGGGGTGTATAGATGCATATTATTTAGGGAGGATGTGAAAACAGTATGTCGACAATTTGAGAAGTCAGACTCTTACGATCTATAGACCTTTGATGATCTTCTAAAAGGACTAAAATCTTTCAAATTAAAATCCAGAGCTTCAGTGTTTAGGTACTTTCTTTAAAAAAATCAGTTTTGGTGCCTGTTGATTTTCACCAACTGCTGTAAATCACTTCCTCAACAAATCTTTCCAACTAAACAAATAAAAACTTAGTCTACTTGGTTGCGGGCAGCAGACGAATCAAGGGTGCGTGTTTCATTATTTTTGGGACTTGTCAGCTGGTTGTACCTGCATCCCAGTGAGTGATGTTGTTCCCATTGAAACTCGATCCCTGTACCCATCGCTTCAAACGCCCAAGCGTTATCCATCATTCAGTCCGGTGTAAAAATGAAGAATTAAAATTATATCAGTAAGTAATGATAACAACTTTGTCATTAAAAGACCTAGTTTTAAAGACATTTTTTCGGTTCTTTGGAGAATACAAATCTAGAAATACCACGATACCAAGAAACAGGGAGTGACCCAGATCTGTTATAAAGGTGTAGAAATATCTCAGAATTATACATACGAATAAGAGGAACGCATTGGTATCACATTGTATAGCTATGACCGCTAACACCCACTAAATATCTCAGTAATCACAATGTTTTAATGACCGTCTCAAGAACACGTTAGATACAAAACACTTGGACAGGTACTGAAAAAGATTTGTAACTACTTCATCTTAGTGATTGTTCAAACATTTTTTCGCTTACCTACTTACCCTTAAGTAATGAAGCTTTGTGAATGTTGATATACTTGTGTGATTCACTGGATTCTTTCACTACTGATTTATATTCTACGTTTTACTTATTCAGCCACATATTGCTTTCGCCATATTTTACTTCGTACCGTCTGGTGTACGTTGAGAAGGCAAATATTCATGTCTCTATCTGGAGGTTTGCAGAGGCTTACTAGTTGATTTTGGTTTGGAAGTCATCATAGACTGATATAAGTTAGAGGGACACTAGAAACCTGGAAGTACTCCAGAGCTGTCTCGTCCTAGTATGGGACTCCTCAGCAGTTCGCACCCATGGCCCAGCACCACCAGGAATCTAACCCACGACATTCAGGTTCCGTGACCATTACGTTACCATTGAGCCACTCGGTCGGAACCCAGTCGTCCACATTTCCTACTTCTGTCAGTTCGCGATATTGCACGGACTGCATCCAGTGTCGTCGTTAAGCAACTGTCCTCATGTTCGACTTGGTTGACTCCACTGGTCAAAACTTCTGATTGGAACTTCGGGAATCACCTTCAGAAGATGGTCACCAATGAGCGCTAGCTTAATTCTATCTCAAGATTTGTGGAGGTCTATTAATTGATCTTAGGTTGGAATTGATAATATACTGACATAAGTTGGAGGAACATTGGAAACCTTGGAGCACTGGAGAGCTGTTTTGCCTTGGTTCGATCCCTGGCGCGGTCATGAATGCGCACTGCTGAGAAGTCTCATACTAGGAAGAAACCGCTGTCTATTGCTCTTAGGTTTCCAATTTTCTCCCAATTGATGTCAGTCCGTGATAAATCCCAGCCTAAAATATTTATGTTTCCTTTGCGAGCAACTTCAGCTAAATGTATTCTATTCCTTTATTTGTATCTACACATCCATTGATGAAATGTCATTAGAACTTACTACTTATAAATAATATTTAAACTAAGTCGAAACTTAGCATTAATAGTTTCCAAGATATACCTATACTGTTGCGCAGCATCAAAAGTAAATTAACACAAAATGTATTTACATTAACAAAAGGAAAATAGCAATACATCGTCGGATAAAATGTTCCACAGGAAATATTTAGTTGTATCAGTTTTAAAACAGAAAAATTCCATAGATTTATTCAAGGCGGTCAAGTTAAGTAACACTATGATTAAGTGATCAAAACAAATCTACATGTTTTTGAACTGAAATTCTGACATATCATAACGTTGAGGGCAAGAAATGAAAACTAAGTTTGGTATTTACATGCAATAAAATTCTATATTTGTCGGCTAAGTGGTCAATTAAAAATATTTTGGCTGTTCAAATACCAATTCTGAGGTCATGTGAAGGGTACTAGGCAAAATAGGTAAGTTGACCGTTGAGATTGTGAACCTTAGTCGATTGAGATGACTACGACATGTACCGGGCATGTCAAGCAACTGCTTGCCTCGATGTGTTATTCTAGAAGAAGTTGGATTAGGTTAGAAGAGGATTCAGAGTATCCGGACCAAAACTTGGGACTAGTGCTTGAAGTCCTCAGCTTTTGGTCTAAGTGGTGTATGGAGATATAGACTGCCTGGCTTAAGTCTCCGAGACTCTTGTTGACACGGCTAAAAATCGGTCACAATGGCGAAAATGTATTCACCATTTGGTGTGAATGGTGCATAAGAACATGAAAAAAGAAGCAGAATTTCTTGGTGATTTATACCCAACATGTAAGACTAAGAAAAGTGCGTTGTCTTTCTATGTCGCTTGATTTAAAAACCTTAACAAAAACTCCAATGAACAATAAACTAGTGACAAATATCGGTCAAAAAATGCATCTGATCCCAACAAGAAGTCTTCTTCTTCGGGGTTTTGGATCAATATAAAACTAAGGCATCAAGGTTATTCATCAGGCAAAAGCTTCAAGCTAGGACACACAAGTTATGAAGTACTTTGGATACTTTATCTTAAGAGCGTTAATTTCAGGTAGTATTACTGTTCGATACTCATAATCATAAGACTAGAAACCTCACATTCTGTCTGTCTATTTCCTATGAGTTTATTATTTACGATAATAGTTACAGAGTATCTATTTCTTTTAAACGGTGAATGGGTAACATCTAGTTTAACCAACCAGATATCTATACTGTCATCTTTAAGAAATTATTTCAGTGTGGTTGAAAGAAATAACTAAAAGAACTAATCTCTCATCTCGCTATCGACTTAATAGCTCTTTTGGACTAAAATAATCTACAAAGATCAGCTAACCCAACAAATTCAACTAAATATTAGAAACCTTTTATCAGCTACTTGGTTGTCTGCAGCAGAAAAAAAGTATATCATCGGATTGCATGCATTTCAAGTTGGTAATCATTGCGAACTGGCGTCACTCAGAGAACCACTTAAAACTTAAGAAAACCAAACAGCAGCTTTGCTGTAGTATCAAACTTTGCAGCAGTGTGCAACTACAACCTAACTAGGGACCAAACCCCGCACTATCAGCCCTATTAACAATCACGTTACAACTCAACCACAGGATCCAAACCTAATTGCATACATTTTCCTACTTCGATAGATTAGTAAAATGGCATGATTATCATCAAGCCCCATCGATGAGTGTTTTTCCCCATACATCTTAGCCTGTCATCCGATCTTCAGGAAATCCATCTGCAAGTACTTCACCAATAAACAGCGAATAGTAGTTTGATTGGGAGGCGTTTTAGAATGAATTGCCTTCAAGATTGTATTCATCTTAGAAAGATAAACAGATGAACTGAATATACATCAGTTTCTTCTGTTTTAAATGAACCAATTTAAACGAACTTTTTGTTACAGTCTGCTTAATCACTAATGTAACACATTTTTAGTTCCGTGTGACAATGATCAACTTTTTTTAGAATGTACAATAGGGTATTATAATCATATACCAACGTTATTACTCGTTTCTCCTTTCAGTGCTGTGACAAATTACATATAAAGTATACCTTTTAAAATGTGTGCAACCTCTTTTTCTCATTTTCATACTAAGACACAAAGTGGTAGTCCATCTGAAGGTGTTTTACACAGTGGAGATGCAATTTTATCAATAAATGGTGAAAGTGCACGTAGTTTAAGTCACGAGGAAGCGACACAGAAAATTCGTTCTGCAGGTACTGATCTCCAGTTAACTGTGGCAAGGTAAGTATACGTTAATTGAATGTATTTTTAAAAAATATTTCTAATAAATTATTCAAAGCAACTGTAGGGTTTAGTTTGTCTAAGAATGCATTATTTGTTAATTATACAGGTTATTCCCAAACGATGTGGTCAAAATTACCAGTACTTAGCTAAATATTTCCCACACCGTCCAATTCTGATATGAACACAGTTCCTGCCAACAAACACTCAACGTCAGTTGTAAGTTGTAGTCCGTAGCAGCAAATACATTAAGCATAATTATACGGATGAAGTAGATACTTGATATTTAAGTCAAATATTTAATTTCACTGTTATCTTCAGATTTTATAGCTGTGAGTAGATTCTGAATTCTACTCCGTGAGTGTTTACTTCGAAAGATGAAGTTATGTGACATTTGAGCCATTCTTGTATAGATAAGAAATACTTCATAGTGTTTTCATCTGTGATTCGGAAAAGCGAAAAAAAGTGAAACTAAGTGCGGTACTTTTTGGTAGGAACAGAAATTGGTTATGCTGAACACAACAGAAGGTTGGAGGCTCATCCGGCAAAACAATCTACTGACCTTCATTTGAATATCATTTCAGGATGATAGTCATTATGAACTAACATTAACTGCAGGATGGCTGACAACCCACGAAACCTCGAAACCAAAGAACATTACCTGTTACATACAGAAATAAAGGCTATACCTGGATTTACTTTAAAGTCTGTTCTAAAGGATTCGGTTTTTACTTCTTGAATTAGTTTTTTGTAGATGATGAAGCAAATAGTAATTAAATATCACAGGAGAAACTTCATTCTCACTCAAATGTAACTGTCACTGTTAGAATCCAAGTAGGTCTATCAGAAGAGTGTTACTGTTTCCCAAGTGATATGTTTCTCAGAAAACAGCAAAGTATTATTTTAGCTTTGGATGAATAAACACAACTACCAGACACTTCTGGACTTCAACTTTTTAGTTGTTTACATTCAACAGTATAGCGTATTAGAAAACTTCAGGAAACTGTCCTTCTTTACGAATTACATTAACTATTATTGTCACCACTTAAAATTCATGTTTGAGAACTACTTCTTGTGTAACTTGATAGAAAATATTCGCTGTTAACTAAAAAGTAAGCAGTATCCAGCTACCGAGCCTTCAGATATGAATAAACACCTCTGAAATTCGCAGTATACTTACCAAGCTACTTGGTTTTAAGTTGCAGTGGACCATATTTCTTATTTAATAATCTGTTTACACACATTCATAAAAATGTATTTCTAATAAATTGATTCTCTCCACAATGCACAAATTTCTCATGGATATAAATGTGATTAAGATTTTATTTTTTCTCTACCCTTCCTGTTCCTTTGTTTCCTATTGACTTTAATGACCCTTTCCGTAAATTTTCATATAAATAGATTGACAAGTGCATGTGTGTTCAGATTGTTAGAAATGTATAACGCTAGCACATCACATGTTTCAGATAATCTTCATCTTCTCATTAGGCTGCTTAAATTCTCAAATATTAGTATCCTGATTCACCATAAATTCACCAGGTCCATCATCTAATTTTTCTCGAACAATTAAAAAAATATACAGACACGATGTATGTGGTATTCAGTCATCAATAATTAATGAGAGTGAGAAATATATTTACTGAATACATTTCAGGTTTTCATCACGCATGACAAGTAGGTAACTGACTTTTTTAGTCATTTTTCTTACTAAACTATTCGTGCTATTGGGTTTTCTTCTTCTAAGCATACTATAGAATAACAGCTGTCCAACTCCATCACTTCTGATGACAGCATTAGAAGATAATTACCGCAAGTTTCTCACTAAAAAAATGCACTTATGATGTGCTTCCTTCTTATTGACACCTTATTTTACCAGAAGTCTAAATATCGTTCCTACGCAGAACGAAACATGGATGGGAACATTTCATTAAGTAATATTCACTGCAAGTTACAATTTTGTCGATGACCTTTTAAGTATATGCCTTAAATATTTTGATGATAGAAAGTAATGGTTATTTTCATTTTGTTATTAGCAAAGGTATTTCTAACTATCTTCTTAGGTTCTTTATTTCCGAAGTGACTTTCTTTAAACAGAACTTCAGCAACATCTCTTTTATTCCAAGTTAATTGACTCGAGTTATCCAAATAGAAATGTTATAAATTCTTTTTTGTGAGCTCTTCAGACATCTCATACCAAGATTGAAAATGGCTGACAGACGATGTTTTTATTCCTCAGTGAATTTTAGATATAATCTACCTTAATATATCTGTTGATTAAATCTATATTCGAGTATCAGACTTCCAAAACTTCCCTAGTAGCTTATAAAACCTGCTCACTGAAGAATTTTATCAACCTTCTAGTCAAAATTATGACTGTCTACGTGCACTGAAACCAAGGAGAATGGACCTTGGCTCTTTGCTGTTCTTTGGCGTTTGTAATTTCTTTGGGTACTGGTAGGCCTTGATAACATAGTCAACGAAATTCAACCATTGAGCGAAGTGTTACCAACAAACAGAGTAGTGTCACTGCAAGAAATATTCTTTGTCAGCGTGATTCGATGAAATTCGCGATCGCTGAGGTCAACGTGTACAAAAACATCTCTAACTCTCAGTTGGACAGTTTTTATGGTCATGAAAACCCTCAATCTGACGTATGTGTGAGGTTCGAACATGCCACACTTCATTAAGTTAGTAATGATGAAGTCTGCTAGCCTGTTTATGAAAAGTCTACGACATAGTATCAAAACTCACAGATTATAGAATCGAAAGCAGTTTTTGGGGATTTCCTAACCTGTTAAGCCCATGACAGAAATTCTTTTAAAACTAAGACAAACTGAATCCAACAATTAATCTAAACAAACTAAGCGAAATATATGAACATGGTCATGCTAAAATTTAGCGAAAGCTGTGTAGTAAAAAATTACTACTGTCCATATTAAATATGGTGTTAAGTGATGAAAAACGTATCCTCCTTTTGATATAAGCTTCAAACTGAAGTTCGATACTAAGATAACCCAACTAAGTTTATTCTTCGAACACTCTGGGTCTATTTGTAGAAGATTTCAAAGTAGTTACTCAATGTGACATACTCTAATATTATTTTTATTTTTATAATTTGTCCCTTGAGTTCCTAGTGAAACATTAGGCTTCAAAAGCACGTCTTCATTGCATTCTCTTATATATAGTCTTTTCAACCTGGCGCCATGACTGCCAACAAGCTCTCATTTCTTCCTCAAACCATCCCCTCCAGGTCAGCCTCACCTCAAACGCCCAACTCGTCGTTTCCCCTTTCCGATTCCACTCAACGACCTGCCATGCCACGTGATCTCCCCAGTCCGCCTTCTCAGTGTGTGCCCAATCAAATCCATCTCCACTTTCTTCTCCTGCATATTTGTTGAGTGATAGGATCTTGGCTAGTATGTTGACATCCAGAGTTCCTTGTTGCTTATTCTTATTATTCTGGCCATCTGATTTTCAGTATGGAGCCAGCGTTGGCAGCACCTGTTGATGAGTGTCTGTAGTTTGTTGGAAATGCCTTTCGTGACACACCAAGTTTCTGAACCACACAGAATCACTGACTTGACATTGGTGTTGAAAATCTGGATCTTGTTCATGCTTTATGCTGAGTGTAGTGCAGTAGATCTCCACACTGGTTTCACGTTAATGAATGCCTGTCTTGCTGTCTTTCCCATCCTGACTTTGACATCCTCATCTGTGTCGCCACCACCTGTAGTTGAGACGATACTACCAACATAGGTGGTTAGGTAGGTGAAAGAGACTACCTCCTTTAGATTTCTCTCGTTGATGGTGATTGGTGCCCATTGTTGTTGATTCTGTTGTTGGTTGGGTATCTTCATCACCTCTGTCTTCTCTACATTCACTTGAAGTACCGTCTTCACTACTTCGCCTCTTCTGTCAACTTGTTGGTTTTCGCCTGTAGATCTTCGAGTTTGTGTGACAAGATATTAGACATAAATCATCATCGGTGGCGAAATCCAAATCTTCTAGGGTCTTTTCATAGGTCAAACAGTGTATGTCTATCTTCTCGCTCGTCACAGTTTGTTGCATGATCCAGTCCAGTCCAGTAGACTACAATCAGGAAGATGGTTGGTGATAGTAGGCGGCAACCTTGTCTTACTCCTGTCTTCACTGCAAAGGCATCACTGAGTTTTGCATTGCTATGTGAATCACCTGGGATGTAGCATCATATAGCATATGGCTGTTGAATGAGGTTGATAAGTGTTTGTGGCACTAAAACTGTGGTGTTGAAGCAGCTGCCTGCCAAATTACTTCTCGGTCGACGCTATCGAAGGCCTTATCAAAGTTGATGAAGTTGAGGTTGATGTTGAGTTGTGTTGTGTTGACTGGCATTCTATGGTCTGTTCTATGCTGATGCGTAGAGTGGCGTTGCAATTTGGTTGGCCAGCCTGTTTCGGTGGTAATTTAGAATCCAGTGCATGTTTTAGTGTTTTCAGGATGATGCGGCTTAATATTTTGCTTGCTGTGAGTGGACAGGTGGGGGTGGGGTGGGGTGGGGTGGAGCATGATTGTGCACCAGTTCTTGCAAAGACTTAGATCTGCCTTGTTTGGCCTTGGTTGACAAGGTAGCCGTTCTTGCAATCAACTGACAGGTACCTTTCCTTGCTTGCAAACCTAGTGCAATAGTGGTGTGTGCGTCTCCGCAGTTGTTTCTGCATGTGATTTCAGTACTTCTGGGGAATTCTATCTGGTCCTGCTACTTTCTCGGTTTTCATTAGCCTTATGGCGTTCAGGACTTCGACTTTCGTTGGATGGCTTGTGTTCAAAGTTTGCTTAGTGGCTTAGCTATAGCTGGTATTTCTGAGCAAAGTGCAATTGGTGGTCGGTTCACAACCATTCTGAAGAGTTCAGCCCATTGTTTCCTTTGTGTCTCGTCTTTGGCAGTTATATTTCCTTCATCCTCTTTCGATGGCTTCATCTGTGTTGGCCTCTTCTTTTCCGGAGAGTTACCTGGTTATTTG